GGTGTGGACCCCAGGTGGTCTGGTCTCATAGGGTCCTCTATTTTCTTCTTGACGCAAATCAAGCAGGAGTTTGTGTTATTCGGTGTGTCGATCTCACCAGATTGTGGGCTCTTGGAGGCAGAGCCCCTGTCTGCATGTGCCCCCTGTTATAGCCTGAGCTCCTGGCACAGTGCCTGGCATGTAGCAAGTGCCAGTTGGGATTTACTGAATCGCCAAGTGAACGGATGGGTGAATGAATGAATGAGTGAGTGAGTGAATGATGACACAATCTCCAAGGAAGAGGATGACAGTTCTAGGAGGCTGACTGCAGTTCAGCATAGGGAAGAACATTCTAATATGAGCCCCAGCTGGTGATGGAAGGGTGTACGTTGAGAGACGGTGAGCCCCCCAGCCCTGGGCATGTCCCGATGGGAGACCAGTTGGCCGCTAGTCATAATGCACTGGAAGCATTCTTGCATGAGACGGGGATATAGACTGACTTTGTGGGACCTTCTACCTCTGACAGTCTACAGTTCAAGGTTCCAGACTCCTAGGGAGTATTTGGGTGCCTACCACAGAGGAGGGTTCTCCCCTCTGCCAACACGAGACCTTTTAGGGTTATTCTCAAGTGACGTGGCTGGGAAACTTCGAATTGGTTCGAATTCATTGTTTTTCTTTGTGATTGATGATAAGAATGATGATAGCATCCATTTGTAGAATTTCCTACGTGTGGGGCACTGTGCTAGGTACTTTTAATGTAATGACTTGTTGAATCTCCTCTACATCCCTAAGAGAAAGCCAATCGTATTATTATCACGTTTTACAGATGAGGAAACTGAGGCATAGAGAAGTTAAGTAATTACTGAAAGTCATCAACTAATAACTGATGGGGAACAGGATTTGAGGCCAGGCTCTGACCACTACAGCCTACTGTCTTCTCGTAGGCGAGTCGATTTTTGCTGATGATATTCTAGCGGCATCCAAAATAATACATTCTCTTCTTGAGGTGTGCAAAGGGACGCTGTAAAACCAAGTTCACTGATTGTGTGCCTTAATTCTTCTGTGTCCTTCCTTACGTTTCCTCCTACCAGATCAGTCTAATTCTGGAATCTTCCATTGGATCTCTTTAAAGTAGCAGTTACATATACTATAAATAGGGAACTCTATTTTATTTGGCACACAAGGGACTATTATATCTTTCTCATACATCATGCCTTTTTTTCATGCGTGATGATAAAGATGAAGGGATTCTTCATCCTGTTTACTACGTTTAACTTCAATTCCATGTGGTCGGGTATCAATATGGCTCTTCCTGCTTTCTCTTCATTTGCATGGTCTCTTTGTCCACACCTTGATTTTCTGCCCTTGCTACTCAGTGAATAGTGTGATTCATAAAACAGATAGTTAGGTTTTGCTTTTAATCCAATATTCCCATCCTTGCTGACTAAACTAATGGGAGATTCAGATCATTCCCTGTACCCCTTTACTGTAAGGATTTATATGCTTGACTTTATTGTTCCCAGTTTTCTTTGCGACCATTATGGTTTCTTTTACATGTTGTTTCATTTTCCTTTTGCATACGTTTGCTTTTTGGAGCACTTGAACATTTTTTTCTAAAGATTTTATTTTATTATTTAAAAAAATCTTTATTTTTGAGAGAGAGAGAGAGACAGAGTGTGAGCAGGGGAAGGGCAGAGAGAGAGGAAGACACAGAATCTGAAGCAGGCTCCATCTGGGCTCTGAGCTGTCAGCACAGAGCCTGATGCAGGGCTCGAACTCATGAACTGTGAGATCATGACCTGAGCTGAAGTCGGACGCTCAACTGACTGAGCCACCCAGGCGCCCCTAAAGATCTTATTTTTAAGTAATGTCTGCACCCAATGTGGGGCTCGAACCCACAACCCCGAGATCAAGAGTCCCACGTTCCTCAGACGGAGCCAGCCAGGAACCCTGGAGCACCTGAACATTTTATTGTGTCTTTCTATTCAATGAATGGCTATCTTTCCTTTCCTGTTCTCACAACCAGATGCATTTTGCTCCATTCTTATCCAGAAAACCCTTAACATTTCCCCCAGGAAGGCACATTGCTGCCTCTGCTCCAATGAGAGGAGATCTATCTACTAGACTATTCATCCTCCATCCATCCTCCATCCATCCATCCATCCATCCATCCATCCATCCATCCTTTTTCACCCTCCCCCTCTTCCTTCCATTATATGTCCATCCATCCATCCATCCATCCATCCATCCATCCATTTTCACCCTCCCCCTCTTCCTTCCATTATACATCCATCATCCTCTCCAATCTGTTGCTACATTTATTGCTTGCCATTGTTCCCTCTCCTCTTCGTCTCCCCCAATTATGAGGACTCTCCCCCGGTTCACAGGCTGTTTGGCTAAACAGCGAGTTATGTGGATGACTCCCCCCCGCCCCACCTCTGTTCTCTGTTCAGCCGGCACCTTCTGAGAGAGTTCTTTCTGACCTTCGTCAACTTTAATCGTCTTCCCGCTTTACTTTTCCTCACACACTTTGCACTTCCTGACACTTCTTCTATGTTTATTACTTATTTGCTCATTCTCTGTCTCCCCCACTAGAATGTTAAACTCACTGAGGGCAGGCACTTTATTTTATCTCCCTTTTTATGTCTCCAGGGCTTGGGACAGTGGCTGGACCATCCCTGGAACAAAGAGTTGTTGAATGAATTGCATTTTGCATACCCTCAAATCTCTTTCTGTCTTGTGCCCTGAGAAGCAGGTGACATGCTGGCTGGAGGTAGGGTTCTTACACTGAAGTCCTTTCCCTAAAGTTGACTCTAGCTACTCTCCCACTGATTTCTGCAGATGAGAAGTCTGGTGCCAGCGTGCACCTCTACATTTTGTGCACACCCCAATTTATCCAATATTACACATGTGTATTTGTTGATTCCCCAGCAATCTTGTTTGTTTGCCTTTGAGCCCCTGGCAAAATGCCTGATGCATAGTAGGCGTCCCCCAAATATTTGTTGTATAAATAAATGGATAAAGGAAGGATTTTTAATACTATGAGAAGGCAGATGATGTATTTATCGGAACTCTTGAAATATCAGTGACAGGGGTGTTCTAGACCAGTGGTTCTCAAGGTGGGGTCCCAGATCAACAGTGTCAGCCCCACCGGGGAGCTTGTTAGAGATGCAAATTTGGACCCCCCCTCCCCAAACCTACTGAAGCAGAAACTCTGGGGGTGGAGCCCCGCAATCTGCGGTTTAACAAGCCTTCCAGGTGATCCTGATGCATGTTCAAGTTGGAGAACCGGTGCTGGAGACTGGTCTCGTTTTCTAGATGGGAAAACCAAGGCTAGGAGCAGGGAAGTGACTCATCTGAATTCACGCATGCCACCGGGGGCACAGCCGGAGCCAATGCCCAGGTCCCCAGGGCTGCAGCCTGTGTCCTCGCCACACCAGCCAGGCTGCCTCACCTCCTCTCGCTATTTCCCCTGTATATCAAAACGAGCCATGCATTTGTCAAACCTTTTGAAAGCACCGGGATTGAGTCTCCACCCTTACTGAGCTTTTGATTTCACTGGGAGCTTGCCAGGATTAAAAACAAAACAAAAAAAAAATGTGACTTAGAGTTGTTTCTATAAGGCTTTGAGCAATGGAAAGGAGCTGGGCGATTGCGTTACTTTTCGCTGGAGGCTTCTTGGGTTGGAGCTGTAATGTTATAGCTCAGTGTGAGGACCCGTCCTCTCTCTCGACCTCGCCACAATGCTTGTCACACACGATCCAGTTTCCTCCCGCTCATGGGAGAGGAGGCGTGAATGGCGGCCAACGTTGGCCCAGAAGAAGGATTAGGACCTTTGACGTTGATCAAGTCTCCATGACCACTCTATTTTTTCTTGCTAATATTTTCATTTGTTACAAGTTTCTTTTTAACGTGTTTTGTATATTCCTTTCCATCTTTTTTTTTCCTATGCATATTTTTTGTTTGTGTTTATTGTTTGGTCCAAACCATGCCAGATACACCATCAAAGAATACTTCCTTTCTTCACTTTCCCTAAGTTCAGGCCCTTTCCATGACACCGTTATGGATGCCCCTTCCTATCAGTTTTAAAAATATGCTTTCTATTTTGGAAAAGTTTCAGGTTTACCGAAGAGTTGCACAGAGAGTGCAAGTGTTCCCGAATGCCTGTGTGCCCCTCATCTTTTTCTCTAGAGAGCAGGGTTTTAAGATCAGAGAACAGATTTTTTGAGAACAGTGACACTCTTAGACTGATCTTTTTTGGAGAAAAGCTCTTAGAGGCCTTCTGTTTATTGGGCTAATCTTTGTTGAATGTATATCATTTATCAGACCCCAGGATATGCATCAGGTGGGAACAATGATAAACAGGACACAATACTGTCTTGCTGTGTATATATGTAATTAATTCTAATATGTATGAAACAACATAAAATTTATTGACTTAGTTGTTAAAATTTTTTTAATGTTTCTTTATGTTTGAGAGAGAGACAGAGCGTGAATGGGGGAAGGGGAGAGAGAGAGAGAGGAAGACACAGAATCCGAAGCGGGCTCTAGGCTCTGAGCTGTCAGCGCAGAGCCCACCATGGGGCTTGAACTCGCGAACCGTGAGATCATGACCTGAGCTGAAGTCCGGTGCTTCACCAACCGAGCCACCCAGGTGCCCCTATTTCCTCCCACTCTTAATGGAGGTTAATAGTATCCTCTGAGGCCCGACAGTTTTTTCATTTTGATGTTTTAGGTTTTATGTTTAAGTCTTCGATTCATTTGAAGTTAATTTTTGTATATAGTGTAAGGCAGGGTAAAATTCATTCTTTCATGATTGGATTAGCCACTTTCCCAGCACCATCTGTAGAAACGACTGCCCTTTCCTCCCTGAATGGTCTTGGCACCTTTGCAAAAACCATTTGACCACGTAGGTGAGGGTTTTAATGGCATTTACTCTGAAACGACATCCGTGCATGTCAACACTTACACATGTGTGTTTCTGTGCTCTCCCCGCCCCCCTCCCCCCCAATTTAGGTAGCATGACATTGTTCGCGGTCATCACCATCATCCTGGGATGCTTTAAAATTGGCTACTTCGTTGGATTCTCTGAATGTTTATCAGCCACTGAAGGCGTCTTCCCTGTCACACACGCAGCACATACTCTGGTCCAGGTAAACCCTAAGATGTTTCTGTAGGTCGCCTCGGCTCCTGTGGAGTGTATCCCAGGGCACACGAAACGGGAGGTGTGGGAGACAGCAAGAGGAGGCGTAATCCTTCTCTGAGGCTCAGTCCGTCCGTTGCCTCCGCTCTCAAATGGGTCTCTGTGTCCCCTTGGCTGTCTTTGTGGGGATCCTACGAGGGGGCCCTTGTAATGGAGAGTCAGGACATTTTGCCAAGCTTGAGGCTACCAGAAAAGGCTCGGGAGTGGATTTTCATATATGTTCTTGGGTTTTATTGAGCTGTCATTCACACACCGTACAATTCACCCATTTTGGTGTACAAGCCAGTGGTTTGGTGTATTCTCAGAGCTAGGCGACCATCGCCATAATCAATCTTCGAACATTTTCATCCCCCGCAAAGGAAACCCTGGGCCACGACCGTCACTCCTCTGAGTCACTGAAACATTGTATTTTGGAGATTTGGTCTTTACGGAGCTCGTTAAGGCTAAATGAGGTCACATGGGGGGGTGTCCTAATCCAATAGAACTGGCGTCTTTATATGAAGAGAAGATTGGGACACAGACTCACAGAGAAGGAAGACGGTGTGAGGACAGTGGAGGAAGATGGCTGGCCGTCCACACACCAGGGAGGGAGGCTCGGGACAACCCTGCCCACACCTTCATCTTGGACTTCTGGCCTCTCGGACCGTGGAAAATACATTTTTGTTGTTTTAAGGCACTCAATCTCTGCTGTTTTGTCATGGAAGCACTGACAATTTATTTATTGGCTACTTATTTCGGGGGAGTCAAATCTCATGATGACAGAGGCTTATGGTGATACCAGTGACAATCTGGAGAGTCTTAGTGAGACCAGAAAGAACTTCCTTCTTTACCTTCCTCCCTTCCTCCTTCCCCCTTCCTTCCTTCCTTCCTTCCTTCCTCCCTTCCTACCTTCCTTCCTTCCTTCCTTCCTCTTCCCTCCCTCTCTCCTTCCTTCCTTCCTTCCTTCCTTCCTTCCTTCCTTCCTTCCCTCTGAACCCAACAAATAGTATTCCCAGTATTAGGAATGCATGGGCGAAGAGCCACGGTCTGAGCCCTGCCAAGGTGTCAGTCAGATGGGGACAAATTACAAATATAGATGACAACACAGGGCTCAATGCTTTGACCAAAGTCACCCAGTGATGAGGGCGCACCAGCTTTGGGGTGAGAGGTCGTTTCTGCCAGGAAGAGCTCCAGAGGTGTCAGTGAAAGCAGGGTGTCAGAGATATTGGGGGATGTGTGGTCTTCCCACATGACGGGGAGAAGGTGTGTGGGGCCGTGGGGGGAGGCGGGCTGGGGCGACGGCACAGACGGAGCCATGGTTTAGCGGAGGGCTTAAGCGCATGGACTCTGGTCAGGTGATCTGACTCTGGCTCATACTCGCGATGGTGAGCTCTGGCAAATTACTTAACCTCTCTGGGTCTCAGGCCTCGCATCTGTCGAGCGCCTGCTTCCTGGGGTTTTGTGAAGATTGAAGGTGCTAATGTGTGTAAAGCACTTTGTAGTGAGCACTTGGCTAAGGCTGATGGCCACTTAGGAGCTTGAACTTCATATCTTGAGGGCAATGGGGAGCCATCGAAGACTTTAGGCAGAGGAATGACCTGGACAGATGTGAGTTTTCAAAATATCACTCTGTTACTTGGTGGGTTGCAGATCTCTATCTTCCTAATTTAGGGCATTTTATCAGTCAATTCATCAAGCATCCTATACCTAGCGGACATTTACTACTTGGCATTGCTACACTAGATGACTGGAGAATGAAAAACAGTATTTTAAAAAAATGGAATTTTTAAATTGTGCTAACCTACATACAGCATAACATTTGCTGTCTTAGCTACAGTTCAGTAGTGTTGAGTATATTCACACTGTTGTGCAACCCATCTCCAGAACCCTTTCGTCTTGCAAAATTAAAACTCCATCCCCATTAAACACTGACTACTGATTCCCTCCTCCCCCAGCCCCCGGTGCCCACTATTCGACTTTCTGTCTCTACGACTCTGGCTACTTCAGGGACCTCAGATGAGTAGGATCATACGGTGTTCGTCCTTTTGTGACAATTGGCTTTGTTTCACTGAGCTTAATGTCTTCAAGGCTCATCCGTGTTGTAGCAGGTGTCAGGATTTCCTTCCTTTTTCAGGCTGAGCAATATTCCATCGTATGGATGGGCCACACTGTCTCCATCCATTGATGGACACTGGATTGCTCCTACTTCTGGCTGTTAGGAACAACGCTGCTGTAAACATGGGCATACAAATATCTTTTTGAGACCCTGCTTTTAGTTCCTGTGGATATACACCCAGGAGTGGGATTGCTGGATTACATGGTAATTAAAAAAAAACATTTATTTTGGGTTCAGTCGGTTGGGCATCTGACTTCGGCTCAGGTCATGATCTCGTGGTTCGTGAGTTCCAGCCCCGCGTTGGGCTTGGTGCTGACAGCTCGGAGCCTGGAACCCGCTTCGGATTCTGTGTCTCCCCCTCTCTCTCTGCCCCTCCCCTGCTCGTGCTCTGTCTCTCTCTATCTCTCAAAACATAAACATTAAAAAAGTAAAATCAACAAATAAAATGTAATTTAACGTTACTGAAAAAACCGGGAAGGAAGATAACAATGTGTAGTTCCCTGCACATTCTTGTCAAAGTTTTACAGAGAACGTGCAGAATATCCTATTCCGAGGTTTCACTTTAAAACATCATAAACTTTTTTGGGGGTTGCCATGTGGTCTTTACGAAAGTATCAGTGAAGTAGCTGTCTAACTTGGAAGTCATTGATAAATCCTTTTACCAAACGTTTTCCCTCTTGTTGGGCTGAATGGCACCTTACCAGGAGCCACTGCTCTCTGTCTTTTTAGGACGTCAGATGTTTTAAGGACCATCCCCTGAAAGTGTTTTCAGAGCAGCCCAGTCAGTCTTAGGTAAAACAATGTGGAAGAGGTAGGATGTGTAAGTGAATTTTCTTTGGTGCTATCTGATTTTCTTTTTTATAGCTCTTCCTTGCAAAATGAAGATTGAACAGGGCAAATTTGTTGTTTATTTATTATTTAAAAATGTTTTTTAGATTTATTTTTGAGACAGAGAGACAGAGCATGAGCGGGGGGTGGGGGGAGAGAGAAAGAGAGAGAGAGAGAGAGAGAGAAAATCTGAAGCAGGCTCCAGGCTCTGAGCTGTCAGCACAGAGCCGGACGTGGGGCTCGAACTCCAGAACAATGAGATCATGACCTGAGCTGAAGTCGGACGCCCAACCGACTGAGCCACCCAGGCGCCCCGAAAGTATTTTTTTTTTAAAAAGCCCTCAACATTTGGCTTCAGGCCACTGGTGTAGGAACTGTTTGTTGGGTGTTTCTCGGAGGAAGCCTAACACGGGTGATAGAATCGGGGTGACGGGGATCGTGACAGGCAGGCGGCCACTCCCCAAGCCCCATCCCTGCTGACAGCCTCAACCTGTCTTCGACACCTTTCTCGCACACCTGGAGTCTCGCTTCCGGAGCGCGGTCCCCACTGGGGGGGTGGCACTGCCGCCTGAGAGGGCCTTGGTGACTTTCCATCCTTGGGACCCTTGGGATGGGAGTTCACGGACATCCCAGCATCTCCCCGCTCCGCTTCTGTGCGTTTCAAAGTTCTCAGTATGCGAACATGACAGTGGTTTTCACTGACGCATCTTTCTTTTCTTCCTTTATTTCCTAGGTGTATTTTCTTTGGGGGCATGCCAAGGATATCATCCAGTCTTTCAAAACCCTGGAAAGGTAAAAAGCGTGGGAACTGCTAGTAAAGCAGTTGAACTTGGTGTTCGTTTAGAACGCACAGACTCATCACTGCCATTGCACTTGGGTTTTATTTTATTTTTTTTAATGTTTATTTACTTTTGAGACAGAGAGAGACAGAGCATGAATGGGGGGAGGGTCAGAGAGAGAGGGAGACACAGAATCGGAAGCAGGCTCCAGGCTCTGAGCTGTCAGCACAGAGCCCGACGTGGGGCTTGAACTGGTGAACCACGAGATCATGACCTGAGCCGAAGTCGGACGCTTAACTGACTGAGCCACCCAGGCACCCCTGCGCTTGGGTTTTAAATGGGAGACCAACTCTCCCTTCCATCCCGACGAGCAAAGCCCGCGCTCTTGGCCTGGGGAGGAGCCCCTCCGCCATCCGCCTCTTCCTGGGGACGGACAGCCCTGGGAGTAGGCTATGTGGGTTCGAATTCTGACTCTGCTGTCGGTGACGTTTTCCTTTACGATCCTCGGTTTTCCTCATCTGTAAATGGGGTGAGAGGAGGGCCAGCCTCTGAGGACTGAATGAAGTGCTTGACATAAACCACGTGCCTGGTGCATAACAAGTGCTCAGTAAGCGTGGGGTCTGTCATTCTCTCTGTCACCTTTCTCTCGAGTGATTGTGAGAATCAAGGGAAAGAATCCATAGGACAGGGAGTGAATTAACTAGATGGAAGGTGTTACCATCACGTAAGAAAGCCCTGGGTGCCCACATACCACCGACTCAAAGAATCAGCATTTGTTTCATAGAAAGATCTCTTATCAGATCATGACAAACAGAAAACTCCCCCAGTACCATTTGAAATGACAACAGATATTGAAAAGATTGATTTATGGGGGCGTCTGGGTGGCTCAGCCGGTTAAGCATCAGACTCTTGATTTCGGCTTCGGTCATGATCTTGCGGTTTGTGGGTGGGGGCCCCGGGTCAGCAGTGTGGAATCTGCATGGGGTTCTTTCTCTCTCTTTCCCTCCCTCTCTCTCTGCCCCTCCCCTTGCTCGTGTTTTCTCTCTCTCTCTCTCTTAAAATAAACAAATAAACATTAAAAAATTTAGGAAAGGATTTATGGATGACCCCTGGATAGAACCATTTTGATAGCCTATTGAAATAGAAATAGTTTTCCCCAATCCCACCATGCAGAAAGGATCAGCCTCAACAGGCAGTGAAGCATTTAATGAGCTGCTACTGTGTGTAGGGTCCACGGCCAGACACTGTCGGGGATATGCAGGGATGTTGGGCCGAGGTACCCCAGGCACCTGGTGGGATGTCCCGGGGGCTGTGCCCCGGCAGCCCGTGCTATCCTCTATGGCCCTGAGTGGTCGCCCAGTGGAGAGAAATGGACAAACCAGGGACAAATGAGTTCTGGGCCCCGAGAACCCAGCAAAGAGCACTTTAATGGCCCCTTTCTCACATTTGATCCGCACGCGGGCTCTGTAAGGGTAACTCATGGGAACCACGCTTCCCTGCTTTGAAGGGGTGCGGCCCACAGGTCCCAGCAGATTAGGGGACTTACCCCATGTCTCCAGAGTGCAAGTGGCAGGCCTGGGATTTCTGTCCCGGGTTGTCCCACTTTGCATGCCAGGGAGCGAGGAACAGGTGGATCCTTCGCTCTTCCTCCCACAGACGCTTTTTAAGGATTATGCTTTTTAACTGATAAGATTGCAAGGATACAATAGGACCTAAGAATCACCTTAATGACACTTTTGTGTTTCCCCGAAATTCACATGCCGAAGCCTTAACCTTCAAGGTGATGGTCTTTGGAGGCAGGGCGTTTGGAGGGTAATTAGGTTTAGATGATGTGCTCGGTGGGGTTCCCCATCATGGGATTGGTGCCCTTAGAGGAAGAGACACCAGAGATCTCCGTCTCTCCCTCTCTGCACACCCAGAAGAGAGGCCACGGGAGAGCTCTCACCAAAACCAACCGTGCTGGCACCTTGACCTGTGACTTCCTGTCTGCAGAACCGTGAGAAAGAATGGAGTGTTTTGTTACGGCAGCCCCAGTTGACTGAGACGCCCCCCCACCCAGCGGTAACTACCGTTAACATTGCGGGCTGCTTCCTGACAGTTTTTCCATGAATACAGTTTTCAATCCTTTTTTCTTTTTAATTTTTTTTTT